ATGTAGCGGAGAAGACCCCGCTGCACTAGGATCTCTACACAGTAAAGATGGGGTGGCGCAGGCTGCTGATCTAGGTGATCTGGTGCTCAGAATGCCTGGAGATCTGCCTGGACATGGAGTAGAGAAAACCCCACTGCAACATGGAAATGATTTTTTAAAATTAATTCCTACAACTGACTTACTGAGATAGGTATTTTTATCTCTATGAGGGAAATGAAAAAAAACTCAGGAACAGAGAGAACATGTATCTTGCCAAATATACCTATAATAATTAAGTAATACTTCAAAATAGGTATTTCTGACTCTAGAGTTCTTAAGAATATCTTGAATTCTCAAGGCAAATGTCATTGGTCTTGATCAGTTTTAAATTGTGGTTCACCTGATTTATAACTGATCTGTTTTATTTTTATACAAATTTGATCACAATGACTTAAAGCTATATAAACATTTGAAAAGATTATTCAGCTGGATTACTCATTAAGCATTAATTTTGATTAAAGGATATAAATACATATATATGTATTCAGGGTATATATATTTTGGTATTAATTTGTCTTCTTCTAAGGAGGGTAAACAAAATGTTTAATTATAAAGATGCATTGATTCATTTGGATCCCTGAGAACATTTTACAAGAAACCAATTCTAGTCATTTTAGTCATATCAATTGAAAAATTACTTATAAAGAGTGATAAAGAAGTAAAATATCATCATAAATATATAATATTTTATATTCAAGGTAATATTTTTTGTATTTTATATTTAATGTGTCCAAAACTGATCTTTGTAACTATTTTCCTATTAAATCACCACCTACTATTTTAGTAAATTTGAGTAAGGCAGGTTCATCTTAATCTTGAAAATTTTTTGCTCCTATTAAGCTCCTTCATTATGAAAAATACTCACTTGGATTCTCTGAGAGGCTGATGAGCTGTTTCTAAAACCATATGTCCTCGAATCTGAGGGTTGAGTGACCTTAAATTTATATTTGAATTATCCAAATTATTTATAATTTAAGACAAAGTTCAAGCAAGTGAATTTATTAGATTGTCCTTTTCATTGAGAAACTTGCTTGGAGTTGGATTACAGAAGGAAGCAGCACAGTACCTAACTTCCAAACTCATCACTCTTGATAGATGTTCAGCTATGAAACCATTACAAGTGAGGATCAGAGGCTTAATGCTTACAAATAAATTTATTCATGATGCCAAGTATTATAGCTAAAGTAATTTACCTCTCAGTACTACATTTCATTAGGAAAAATTAGATGTAAATATATATCTTAGCAGAAAAAAATATAAATATATATCTCACTGGAACAAACAGAAATGGTCATGCTTTTGTTCTGAAGTATATTGTGGTGAAAAACGGCTAGAGGAAAAGAGAAAAATCTGAATACTTTCTGTGAGAACTCCACTTTATGAGTTTTATACAAATGATAAAATTTAATTGACAGAAATCTTTTATGATCACTTTTCAGGGGGACTAACAGCATTTCTGAGTCTCCAGAGTCAATACCGTGTGAAGTTTCATCATTTGGCAGTAAGGAAGCCAACAAGATCAGCAAACCATGTGTCAGCTATTTGTCTGCAGGTACTTCTTTCTGTGTGTGCTTACTAAATTATTTATATTTATAATCTCATGTAATCAAAGGGAGACAAATGATTTTGTTCATGTCACAGAGGAAAAAAGTTACTTGTTATTTCAAGTGCAAATGTGTGTAGTAACTCCTGCCTACTAAGAGGCATGGCAAATTTTTGTCCATAGAAATAGTAATCTCCTTATTGCTCTATTCCTCTGAATTATCTATTTTAGAATAGTATGCCACAAATGCAAACGTCTTGTGTAAGTGGGACATTTATGTTCCAGTCGTTTTTTCAGTCATGAAGAAGGAGAGAATTCTGCATTTTGATCAGCTCAAGTGCAAGCCCACAGTCTTGGGAGAGGAGATTCAAGTGAGAATCACAAGAGAGCAGGAATTATGAACCTAGGGTGATCACAGGAACCTAGGTACCTGCAATACATGGAAATCTAATGGGTCTACACAGTATAGGAGGCAGCATGTGTGGGTAGGTATATTCCAATGTGCAATATGTGCAAGTATAGTATTATAATAAGGGTATGACTCCATTTCTTAATGTTCGTCTGCTAGCAACTTTTAAGCTTCTTCTCTTCCTTTTCCTCTTTTGCCCCACATGTGGGCAAGCTGATTAGAAGCCTAATACTTTCTCCTTTGGCACCTGCAGGAAGTTCAAGCCACGTACAGGAATCCTCACCTCAGTCTTCCTCTCTAATTACCATAAAAACCCCATGCTAGTCTTTTTTCCCTCCTCTGTCAAATTACTTTTGGATTTGCTTGAAATCTTTATTCCTCAGAGAGCCTCATTATCTGAGTAGTAAACCTTTTCTTTTAATTAATTAATTATTTTTTGAGACAGTCTCCCTCTGTCTCCCAGGTTGGAGTGCAGTGGTGTGATCTCAGCTCACTGCAACCTCTGCCTCCCAGTTCAAGTGATTCTCATGCCTCAGCCACCTGAGTAGCTGGGACTACAGGCATGCACCACCATCCCTGGCTAATTTTTGTATTTTTAGTAGACATGGGGTTTTGCTATATTGGCCTGGCTGGTCTCAAACTGCTGGTGTGAGACACCACATGATATGGTTTCTCTGTATCCCCATGCCAATCTCATCTTGAATTCCCATGTGTTGTGGGAGGGAGCTGGTGAAAGGTAATTGAATCGTGGGGGCAGGTCTTTCCCATGCTGTTCTCATGATAGTGAATAAGTCTCATGAGATCTGATAGTTTTATAAGGGGGTGTTTCCTGCACAAGCTCTCTCTCTTTGCCTGCCACTATCCATATAAGACATGACTTGCTCCTCCTTGCCTTCCCCCATGATTGTGAGGCCTCCCCAGCCATGTGTAACTGTTAGTCCATTAAACCTTTCTTTTTGTAAATTGCCCAGTCTTGGATATGTCTTAATTAGCAGCGTGACAATGAACTAATACACCACACCTGGCCAATAAACTTTTTCATACACTCTTGGTGTATCACTCTCAACATTCAAACAAATTTTGGATATAGGTTCATTCCCTTGTGTTACATAAGCATGTAAGTACATTTCAGTATATATACACAGTTAGATTTTAGGTTTAGGTTGAATTTATATGGAGAACCCTACTAGCAGAAAGAGAATTCAAAACCTGTGAAAGGAAATAAGAGATCTGAGTAAATATTTTTCTGAAGTCTGTGTTTAAAATTCACATTGAGTGAACATAGCTAAAAAGTCATTTGGAAAATTAAGGAGCTTCTGAGAAAGAGATAAGCACTTTTAAAACAGCATCTAATACATAAACTTTTCTTTTTCTTTTAAATATCAGTGAGGTTTTAAAATCTCACCCATAGTTACAGAGTACAAAATAGAGTTTCAGGTGACTGTGGCAGGCATAGATATAGATTAACATAAGTTCTTGTATTTGCATGGCTCTAGTCAGAATCAAATCAAGGACAGAAATAGATGAGATAAAACCAAATATTGGTAGAGTCTATCCATGAACTTGGCACTGTTAGAGATGGAAAGCCTGAGTATTACTTCTGTCAATTCTGGTGCAAGGTAATTAGACTGGTAAGAGCAAAGTATTATGATCAGATGCACTGAATGACATTTAATCACATAATGATTAAGAAAAGAGGCATATGGGCTGTTTGAGGTGTTAGGTGAGAAAATTCAGGGAAGTTGTATGTTTAATACATGCCATTCAAGAAAGGAACATTCCAACCATTTTTATGTCATCAGCATCAATATGGTTTCTTTAGAAAAGATGAAGTTTCGGGCTGGGCATGGTAATCCCAGCACTTTGGGAGGCTGAGATGGGTGGATCACTTGAGGTCAGGAGTTTAAGACCAGCCTGGCAAACACGGTGAGAGCCCATTTCTACTGAAAATACAAAAAATTAGCTGGGTGTGGTCGTGGATGCCTGTAATCCCAGCTACTTGGGAGGCTGAGGCAGGAGAATCACTTGAACCTGGGAGGTGGAAGTTGCAGTGAGCCGAGATCATGCCACTGCACTCCAGCCTGGGCAAGAAGAGCAAACCTCTGTCAAAAAAACAGAGAGAGAGAGAGAGAGAGAGAGAGAGAGAGAGAAGGAAAGAAAGAGAGAGAGAAAGAGATAAAGAGAGAAGAGAAAGAAAAGAAAGAAAGAAAGAAACAGAAAGAAAAAAAAAACAAAGAAAGAAAGAAAGAAAGAAAGAAAGAAAGAAAGAAAGAAAGAAAGAAAGAAAGAAAGAAAGAAAGAAAGAAAGGAAAGAAAGAAAGAAAAAGAAAAGATGAAGTTCCAAAAGTCTATCCAAAGTGGCTTTGTCGGGTCATTCTACTTCTAGAGAGGGTTCTGAGGTTGAGGTCCTTGGATACACTATCCAAATTAAATCATGGTCTCTTGGAGAAATAATTGTTCCTTCTAAAATATAATAAAACCCAGTCAGCTCCCATAGGAGTTGTTAACATCTCATTGCTATATCAATGTTCAGCAGAAGCACAAGGAAGAATTACATTCAAGAAATTATTCTGACGGATAATATTTTGAGGTCTTGTTAAAGGTTATTAATGGTTATGTTCTCCAAATGATTTTTCCAGCACAGTAGGAACAGATACACCAAACAGCCTGAGTAAGAATGAGCACCGCCATTTTAATTAGCTGAGAACTGGATTATTAAAACCCAAACAAGGCCATGTGCAGTGACTCATGCCTGCAATTGCAGCACTTTAGGAGGCCAAAGCAGGAGAATCACTTGAGGCCAAGAGTTTGAGACCAGCAGGGCAACACAGTGAGACCACATCTCTTAATTTTTTTTTTTTTTTTTTTAGCTGAGCTTGGTGGTGCATACCTGTAGCCCCAGCTACTCAGGAGGCTGAGGCAAAGGGTATCTTGAGCCCAGAAGGTGAAGGCTCCAGTGAGCTATGATCACCCCACTGCACTCCAGCCTGGGCGACAGACCAAAACTCTGTCTCTAAAAAAAATTTTTTTTAGTTTAATTTTAAAATAAAAAATGAAACACAAGCAATGTTATAATCAATATTCAATAGAGGCACCGCAAAACATTTTTAAATGATAAAAATCTTCATTTAATTCAAATTAGGTTGCCTTAAATATTTCTAGTTAATACATTTTTTTCTCCATTTACCCCAAATTTTCATTCCACCATCTCTAAGTGAATGAAGGAAAGGTAATTCTGTTGTGGCACATTTTAGAAATTACACTGTTATTGAAGGTAAGAAATGCAGTAACTTTAGTTATACCAAGAGAAAAGTTATGATTACATGAGAAAGGCCAAATGGCTTACAGTTCACTTGCAGAAGCCAGTAGAATGCCAAAATAGAAATGTGTTTCATTGGAAATCTCCTTAAACAAAATCATGAAAAGGAACAATTCATATTTTAATGGATTCTACAAAACAAATTACTTTGAAAGAAGTATTAATATCATATAATTGTGCCTATAACAATATTAGATTAAATGGCAAAAACACACTAGCTGAAGCCACTTTGAAGATAGAACCTATAGACAATGAGCAGAAACAAAAATCAAGACTGTGGCTAATTGTTTTAAGAGACAAGAGCTAAAGAGTAGAGAAGAGTACTTTGCAAGGGGATAATTAGACCTGTGGGAGTCAGAATCCAATCTTGTTAACGGTATGAGGCTTTTTGTTCTTTTCCACAATCAATTATTTAAGCCTATTTCAGGAATTTACACAATGAATGCAGTCAAGGTACAGAGATTTTGGAGGACATGAAATTGTCCAGAGATGCACTGAGAGTAATTTAGTCTACACTGGAAAGTTTCCAATGTGTAAGTACTTGTAGAAGTTCTAAAATGGATTATTTTGTTCCAACTAAAATCTCTTGGGAAGACTTACACACTTTAGTGACTCTCAGGACTGACAGAGCCTAGCAAATAATCTGGAGACATTTGATACACTATATATCCATCAAATATTGGAAACCAAACACAAAAATAACAACTATCTATTAAGCACCTATAATATACCAAACACTCTGTTAGGAGATATATATATATGTATGTGTGTGTGTGTGTGTATATATATATTTGGAGAGAGAGAGAGTCTCATTTAATCAAGGAAAGCTTTGAAAGCCTTTTATAAAAATGGGGACTTCGTGACTCTGAGGGCTTAAATAACTTCCTGAGGTCACTCAGTGGATTAGTGGAAGGCTGAAGATTAATAAAATGCTCAGATTTTACTCTCTCAACCTCCTCTTTGTAGATTCACATGATAATGAAATTAGCTCTAATGATTCCAGTATTTCAGTCATGTTTGGAGGTAAACTTTACACCATTTCTTGTTTTTTTCTGGTCACAAGATACTATGAATTATTAGTGTCTCCTCCAAATTCTTATGTTGAAGCCCTAATTCCCAATGTGGTGGTGTTAGAAGATGGGCCCTTGTGAGGTAATTAGTTTTAGATGAGGTCATGAGTTTGGAGATTCTATGATTGGATTAACACCACTATAAGGGGAGGATGAGACTTGATCTCTCTCTCTTCCCCATGTGAGGATACAGCAAGAAGATGGACAAGAAGAAAACCAAGTTTTGGTTGGCCATCTAAAAAACAAAAAGAGGGCTCTGTCACCAGGAATTGAATAGCAGCAGTTTGTTATGGACTTCCTAGCCTTCAGAACTGTGAGAAATAAATTTGTGTTGTTTAAGCCACTCAGTCCATGGTATTTTTGCTGTGGCAACTGAGCTGATTAGAACACAAGGCTAAAGCTAAAACTCACAAATGTGACAGTAATGAATCAGGCCATTCTCTGACAGCTTCCATATTATAGGCTGCTTTTATGAACACTTCCTGTATTTGAAAATTTGATCTGTAGTGGTTAAAGAATGTCATATGTGGGGTCTAGCTCTGACTTCATCACTAACCACCTGTCTGACCTGTGGTAATTAACCTTCTCTCAATTCCTCTTCAGTCACCTCTAAACTGGTAATAATAATAATAGGATCTACTTCATAGGATTGATAGACAATATTAAATGAGATAAAGTGCCTGATGCCTACTGTATGCTCAATTTATGTTCAGCAACTAGAATTATAAAAAGCTGGTTTCTATCAGCAAAGCCAGTATTTCTAAAAATAAGATTCCAAGAGCTTTACAAAGCTGTTCACTTGATTTTTAAAATTGATTACAAATATTTGTTGCCTAGCATCAGAGAAATCTATAAAGAGTTTATATGGACAAAGGGCATCAAAAGACAATTTTCAAAAGGCAATATAATAAAAAATGTAAAAATTTAAACCTAATTAATCAAATAAATGTACAATGTGAGATGCCATTTATTATTTATTAAGTTGATCACTCCCAAAAAGATACCACTCAATGATTAAAAGATTGCAGTAAAGAAAGTAATTTTATACATTGCTGAAAAGGACATTAAGGATAATAGATAATATTTTCTTAAAAAAGTATAAAATTTTTTAAAATATTAACTCTACAACTGAGAACCCCCACTAAGGAAATAATCAAAAAATGAAAAATCACCATAGATACAGATTTTCATTATAGTATTATGTAACTGAGTGAAAACTGAGAACAATCTAACTACCCAACAAGAAAATTGTTAGCAATAATCATGGTACCATCTTTTCTTGGCATATTATGTACTAATTAAAATTAAGGTTATGAGGATAATGTGGCATCATGTTAAAGATTAGGAAAAAAAAAGAGAAAAGTGTGATATAAATTGTGTATAGAGTAGTTAAGGTTAAATGAGAAAGAGATGACCAGGAAAAAATGATTGCTAGAAAATTCAATATGTTAATAATTGTGTTAGGGTTATGGAATACGAAATCATTATTCTTTTGAAAAATTATAATTTCAATATAAATTATATATTTAAAAAACTAATTTCATTAAAATAGTATAAGTGATTGTGGTAAGAGTTGACTATTTTCAATTCTACATAATATTGGCAATTTTTAGAACAATTTAAAATTTCTGACTTTAGAATGTAATTTATAAATTAAGATAGTTTTTATATGAATAAGATCAAGAAAAAACAAGAACCAAATAGTAAAATTCATCCTAACAGACATTTATGCTTATTATTTTTAGAAGTATTTTCAGTCAAATAAATACTTTCTCAATATGAGTCAAATATATGATATAGGACTAATTATATTCATTCAATAGGTTAAAATTTACTCTGATTAATATCTTTAATTTCATATGTACATGGACATTGATAATTTGTTTTCTCAAAGTTTTGGCATAATCTCTTATATTTTGGGAGTTTCTTTAGAAGGATCAGTCACAATACGAATATTGCTATATTCTTGCTAAAAAAACTTTTTTAAAAAATGTAGGGAAAGGTACACAGTCAATCATTACGGCAAGTAACCAGAGAAGGCTTTGATAAATAGACAGAGCTTCTTCATAGTAACAGAAGCAGCTCTGAGACCATGACAACAGAGAAAACAATCTACCCAGTGAAATTTAACATTCACTAAGGGTTATACGCAAGTGCAAGATACAGTGGACAGAAGAAAAGATGAACAAGACACAGGTTTTGGTGTCAACCTGAATTACAAACAGAGACTCTAAAAAGAAATTATGTTCAGCCGGGCACAGTGGCTCACGCCTGTAATCCCAGCACTTTGGGAGGCCAAGGTGGGTGGATCACATGAGGTCAGGAGTTCGAGGTCAGCCTGGCCAACATGATGAAATCCCATCTCTACTAAAAATACAAAAAATTAGCTGGGTGTGGGGGTGCGCACCTGTAGTCTCAGCTACTCAGGAGGCTGAAGCAGGGGAATCGCTTGAACCCGGGAGGCAGAGGTTGCTGTGAGCTGAGATTGTGCCACTGCACTCCAGCCTGGTGACAGAGCGAGACTCCATCTCAAATAAAAAAAAAAATTAGCCAGGCGTGGTGGCATACACCTGTAGTCCCAGCTACTCAGGAGGTTGGGACAGGAGAATCGCTTGAACCTGGGAGGTAGAGGTTGCAGTGAGCCGAGATTGTGCCACTGCACTCCAGCCTGGGCAACAGAGACTCTGTCTCTAAATAAATAAATATTTTGTTTATTTGAAAATAGAGTGTTGCAATGGGAATATACATGCTGCAACAAACTTTGTGCTTATTCAAGGAAGTAAAGGAAAACAAATCTTTCTAAAGGAAAAAATGTAGAGGAGTACATCATTGTTTTGAAATAATTACCCTTGGCTACAAAGATCAATAACAAGGGTGATACCAGTCCAAGGTTGGACAGGCAGTTGCTGAACAGATGTTCTTGGAGAAGTATACACACACACACACACACACACACACACACACACACACATACTTACATATATATATGTAAAGGGAATCTTTTTCTTTATCAGGTATACAGGGAGAACCCTCCCTTCATGGACTTCCGTGACTCAATTTGTCAGGAATTTCTTAACATTAGTGACTCCATTTTAATTCTGAAAATTTTCACTCTGGCAACAAGTATGTATTTTAATAAGGAAGAGAATACATATGAAAACAACAATAAATACACACAAGTCACTAAAATATATTTCTTTCAGTTATGCTGGGCTGAAATTCTATAAAAGTGTTTTTTGCCAAGTAATTTTAGAAAATGTAAAGCAAAAGCTATTTTTATCATTTTACATTTATTCCTAAATACATACATAATATTTGTGCTCATTATAATACATTTGGTAAAAGGGGGAGATGATGAACAAAATTCCCCATAGACCCTGGCAGTGAACAAAATAGAATAAGAACACTATATCTATCTTTCCCATTGACTACAACCAAACACCCTGGACAAAGTACCCAAAATAAACAAACAAGCAACTACTCTGAAGATTAATAAATGAATTGGTAAAGACCAAACTTGATAAACAATCTTTATTGGGTGAGCTTCCCAATTAATTATCTCCTCTTTTATCTTTGTGATTTGATCCAAGGGCAGCTCCAGCTTCTGGGCAATTGGTTCAGGCAGCAAATTTCAGAAATAATCTTTCCATCCTGCGGAACAGGAAAGGAGCTACTCTCTGCTTTAACGGCAGCCCGAACTGTGCATAACTGTGCAGCAGCAAAAGTGGCTAAAATGCCAAAAAACAAAACAAAGAACATCTTTCAAGATGGGGAACTAGGAAAAGAGAGCCCTGGGAGTCAGATAATACGGGAAAACGTGCAGAAAGGAGATAACTGAAAATAGGGATGCCTTAATTCTGTGTGTGAACTGACAAAAGTTCAGCTCAGCCTTGAGCTGTTCATATGTGGGATAGACAAAAAGCAGCATAGCAATGGCTTTTAAAACTCAATTGACTTTGGAATGCTCCCCGTGAAAGCTAAGACAGAACTTCCAGTTTGAACCTAACTAGGTTAATTGCCTGCTGAAACAGCCGCAACAATAGCAGAAAAGCCAGCATTCTCCAGTGTATTGTCATAGGTCTCAGAGTCTCATAACATACTATCAAAATGTCCAGGATATATTCCAAAGAAGTAGGACACCCTGAGAAACTGTCAAGTGAAAAACCATCAACAGATCAATAGATGGAATCCCTGAGATAAACCAGATGTCAGAGAATAATTATGTAATAGTTCGGTCGTTTTGAGTTTATTGAGACTTGTTCACAGCCCAGCCTATGATCTATGTTGGTGACTGTTCCAAGTGTACTGCAGAAAAGTGTTTTTTTGTAATTGTTGGTTTAGAGTTTTAAGTTCCCACGGGCTGTCATTTTTCTGGATTATAGATCCCACTTTCTTCTTGCTTTGCATGTCTAGTAATATTTGAATAGTGAACATTGCAAATAATATATTGTAGCAACTCTGGATTCTCTTGTGTTCTTCTGGGTATTTTTCTTTTTAATAGTTGGTTAATTTTTCTGGATTCAAACTGTATCCTCACTCTTTCCTGTGTAATGCAGCAGCTGATAACTGCTTATTGCTCACAGCATCCAGCTGCTGTTTTTCTTATCCTTGTCCACTGAGGGTCTCTGCTGTGACTGCATGGCAGTCAGCTGAACACTCAGACAAAATGTGTCTTCACATTTTTAAGCTCACACATACATGGTTAAATTTCCAGATGTTCTAGCTTCAGGCTCTTTTCTGTACTATTTCAAACTAGTAAATTTTTAGGTTTTCCTTGCTAGATTGAAATATGAGTTGGGAAATACACCTAGTTAACAACAATAGCAAAAAAGCAGCAAATTCACAATCTTACCTGGTGAATCTGTCTTTCAAGACTATAGGACTCTTTGGTCTGTATTTGCCAGACACACAGGGCTCTGCTTTGCACATTTGTAATTTACTGGCCAGTTGGAGATTTCCGCAGAACTTAACATGCAGATTTTGGTTCTCACCCCTTCTGTTGTTCTCCTGCTTACAAGATTTCTCTTTCAAATACTCAGCTGCTCCCCTGGTACTGAGTTATTTCCCCTGCATCTTTCACCTGGTTAGGCTGGCTTTTTCTCTTTGTTATAGGTGTTCTTAAGGAGAATATCTGGTCATTTCCTACCTTTGGAAACACAGTTTTATAAGAGTAAAATTTCCTCTGGCTCTTGTTTATATTTGAATTCTTTCTACTACTTCTAAACAGTTCTTTAAAAAAAAATATTATGTTTAAATGTTGCAACTTTTATTTGTGAGGTTTATGACATCACTTTGTTACCACTATCAGAATTC